GTTGGCGTTGGTTTGACAGAACGCACGTTAAAAGTATGCTTGCTACAATGAACGCTTGGCGGCGAATCCTTGGGCCACTAAATTAACATATTAACGACAGATAAATTAATATTTCATATCAATAATTGCATTAAAAACGATATTTCTTGCCCGCACTTGATTAAAAAGGAAAAATATTTCACATAATTTTATTTATTCGCAACAGCTGACGAGCGACGCACGCGAAAAGTTGAGAGTTGGCCATCTTTTTGCTTTGTGTTGGCGTGAGCGTTGTCGAATTTTGGCTATGTGGACGGCTGCATTTGAATTCATGTATTCATAGTCAGCTGTTGAAGCGACGCCAACGCCAACGCAACGCCAAAGTTCTATGTAAACGGGCCTTTCTTGTCTTTATTTTAAGCGGAAATACAAACGCCTACATACTCTCCAACTCTCTATGAGTCAGAGTTCATTTCCGTTTCCCGTGCACTCTTCATCCGCTCTTGAAATGCTTTTTTTGCTGCGCAATCGGTTAGCGCAAAATCAATTTCCAAATTTGTGAATTGAGAGTTTTCGAGTGAGTTACCTATCCTCATTCAAACTCTTTTCAAAGTGATGACCTGGAAAAATAAATATTTGGAAATTGCGAATTAGCTGTGATCAACTGAGAGTGTAGGTTAATATTCAGTATTCAGTAGACTTTTGCCGCGGATATATTTAAGTTCGTATGGTGCGCGAGTTCAATCCGATAAGCAGGATAATATTGTGCAAAAGTGTTAAAATAATTTATTTAATTTGTATTCGAATGTGCATTGCAGCATTAAAAGTGCAAGCAGTAATAAAAAATATAAATAGTGCGATTTTATTTCATTGATGCTAAGAAATTGCGTGAAAAAGTGAAATTCGTGTGTTCGCCACGAAGAAATGGGAAACCATCTTGTGGTCGTGTCGCGTGGGTTCGGTAACGTGCATATCTATATACGTATGTATGTAGACGTGCATGTAAATTTTTGCGCATACATAAGTACATACGTTTATATGTACATATTTATGTAGTCATATTAATACATATCCGTACTACTACCCAACGCGAAAGCTAGCACATATTATTGACAATTTGATGCTCGGTTTTCATTGGAGCATTTCATATACATATGTAATTCTAACACCTTGCCAAGGAATTAATTAATAAAAAAATGCAGGGACGAGTGCCTTTGGTAAGTAAGAACATACTTTTACATTACGCACATACATATGTACATATTTATAAACGTAACTGTGAAAGCACATACTTGTACATTAGATTGCATCATCCCCACAAAAAAAAAGGTACCGTTTTTCCAGTGGAAATTATAAAATATATTATATTTTAAGACTTCCACCAAAATATCTCGGAGAAATATTAAGATTTACGTAAGCTGGACATATTTCAAAAATTTATTTTTTTTTTATTAATAAAAACAGTTTTTTAAATTTCTTGTAAAAAAAAAAAAAAATCACCTCAGATTACAAAACAGTAAAGCTTAAAAAATTTGCATAGAAATATAAAAAAAAAAATTTTTCGAAATCATATCTAATAATAAGATTTTTGATGCTGTTTTCGAACTTTTTTCAAAGACTAGTTTAAGATAAACTTGAACAACTGCTCCACAACTTTACCGCCATAGACTTATGAGGTATCATTGGTAAGGTATTTTCCAGAGACCGAAAATAGTTATTATTCTAATATTTAGGATCAAAATCGTCCCCTTGTTTTAAGAGAAATTTTTTTCGTCCTTGTATAATAATTATTTACGAGATCGTCTCGCGGGACGATTATTTCAAGGCAAATATTATTCACGTCTTCTCATAATAATTATATGGGATTTTTATTTTTGGATTTTTTTTCACTTTTATTTCAACACATTTTGATTAAAAGAAAAATACTGATAAAAATAAAATATTTCACACAAACAGCAAAAAATATAAGTGGCATTGTGCTACTATGATAGCTCGGCCCAGTAATCATAGTCAACTTATGTACAGTAGACTGCATCATTCCCCATACAAGAAAAAATCGGTACTGTTCTTCCACTGGAATTATGAAATCTATTATATTTTAAGACTTCTACCAAAATATTTCTGAAAAATAATAATATTCATAAGCTATAATAATAATAATAATAGATTGGCGCTTACACATATGTTAGTGTTTGTCCGAGCTTCTCCTCCGATTTGTGGCGTGCGCCTTGATGTTGTCACACAAAGAGAAGGGACCTACAGCCGAACGACGATTGTATTTTCATGAGAAGCTGTTTTTCGTGACAGAAATATTAGAAACAACTTTATTGTTTATTATTTGTTGATGTTGTTCGGAAACTTGGCTCGAATCCAGGCTTTGCAGAATGGTAGCGTGCACTACCATTCACCACAGCGGCCACCAGCGCCTGATAAATACTATCGCTTTTTGTACTTTAGTATCTAGCAGCTCCTAAATACTCAAGTTTTTTGTACTTGAATATTTAGACATCTTCCAATGCTAAGTACTGGAGTATTTAGTATCAAACTTTAACTTTTATGAAATACAAAAGTAGGTACTTAAGTATACCGGTAACTGGTTTGTAAATAGTAGGACGCATTGTTGACGGAACAACCAAAATTCTCAGAAGCCTATGTTACGCTCGCAGTGCGCCTTTTGAGAACTTGTAGGGGCGTATAAAAAAATATTAATTTTTGTATTAATTAGTTTTGCTGGGAACGGTTGCCTTTGATACTAAAGGACTTTGAATACCGAAATTCGAATACCTTATCAAAAAAAAAAAAAAAATTATCAAACCATAAGCACATGTGCAATATTTGTCAAAATTCCCGGCAGTTGGGTTTCGCCATTGGGTATGAAGTGTCTAGTGTTGCTTGATAAACTCAACTGATAAGTACTTTAAGACCAAGAGTTTTGTCGCAGTCTACCCAAACGCGAAACTAATCGTCATATGCTATATTGCATGCTAATAAAAATCAATTCAAAGCGCATGTAGTACTAGTAGTATAGTAAAATCACTTTACTTTAATAGTATACTATTGTCCATAATAAATAATCGTTAAAGTTATACGGACATATTAAGAACCCTTGAGTCCGTGAATTCCCAGTTGCTGATAAATTAAATTTACAAACCCTTTCGAGTCGATCGCATTCGCACCACTAATCTCTAATTTTATAACTAAAAATTTGATTTATCGCACACCTTTTAACTTTAGTTTTACCTATAAATATGACCACCGCCCAAAAGTTAGTAACAGTTGTTCGCACAAGACACTGCAGCAACAGAGCAACCAAACATGTTGAAGGTGATCATCACTTTAGTTCTAGCCTTGGCTATCGCTTCGGCCTACACCGTTACCGATCAACCGGCTTTTATTGAGGATTTGCCACCATCTCCAGTTTTATCGGGACGCATAACTAATGGTATTCGCGCATCTGCCGGCCAATTCCCCTACCAGACGGGTTTGTCACTAACCCGTAGCACAGGAACCTACTGGTGCGGTGGTTCTCTGATTGGTTCCACATGGGTCTTAACTGCGGCTCACTGCACTAACGGGTAAGCACATTGATAAGCAATTTAATATTTACAAATAAATGAAATACATCTACATACATACGTTCAATTGTGCAGCGTTACTAGGGTCAAAGTTTACCTGGGCGGTACTGTGCGCACTTCGGCCAAGGTCTCGTACACCGTAACCTCGAGCTCTATACACCAACACACTGGATATAATGAAAATACTCTGGCCAATGATATTTCGCTAATCAAGATTCCAGCTGTTTCCTATACCAGCGAAATTTCAGCTATTAAATTGCCTTCGATCTCTTCGTCATACTCAAATTATGTTGGCAGCTACGCCATTGCTTCGGGTTGGGGACGCACCAGTGATTGTAAGTTGTAAATTTTAAAAATTTTAAATTTCATTTCTACATACATAGGTATGTTCTTTGTTATACGAACTTTTAATTTCTTTCAGCATCCTCTACTTCAAGTTATTTAAATTATGGCCGCCTCCCCGTTATAGCTAATTCGGTCTGCTCTTCAACCTATGGCTCCAAGGTTGTGACTGGTAATACGATTTGTGTAGCTACTCCTGGCGGCGTTTCTACCTGTCAGGGCGACTCTGGCGGTCCGTTAGCTCTAGAATCAAATAATGTGCTGGTCGGTGTTACTTCATTCGTATCGTCTAAAGGTTGCGCCTCTGGTGCTCCAGCCGGATTCGTACGTGTAACCAGCTACTTGGACTGGATTAAGGGCAAAACTGGTATTTCCTATTAATTGTAAAAACAATCTGTGTTGAAAATGCAAATTTATTCAAATAAATTTTTTTTTGAGAAGATAAATATTATATCTAGACTATACAAACTGCGGATTTAAGTCTACGGGAAAAGTAAGAATAATTACACTGCTGTCTACGCTCGTTTGCCTTTAATAGAGTTTTATATAGGTCAGAGTCATTCTCTGAGATAACAAGAGTTTCTCTATTGTCAACTTCGTTAATAACTTTCAAGCGGATAACTAGGTAGTCCTTTCCCCACTGCTGTTTAATTTGTATATATCTAAGCTCCCTCAACCACCAGAGGGAGTCTGGATTGTCTCTTATGCTGACAATTGCTGGATAATGGCGTCTGGGAATTGAATTGATGACTTGTGCTCGAAAGCAAACCTTTATATCGCTGAGTTTTGTCGCTTCTTCACTGCCTAAACCTCTCCCCTACAAAGTCCTCAACAACGCGTTTAACCACTTGGAGAAAGGAGGTGAGGCTACAACTGTGTATTCACGTCGATGACAAACCCATTCCGACGGTGAATAACCGGAATATCCTCGGAGTAACCACAATCGTCAATAAAGTACAAAGCCGCAACAAGGTCCGCAAGCCGTTAGCCGGCAGCACCTGGGACAAAGACGGAGAAACATTTTTGGCAACGTACAAGGCAATTGGCCGGCCGGTTCTGAACTATGCAGCGCCTGTGTGGTCGCCCATCCGACAGCTTACCGTCAGGCCTTGAACGGCATTCACAGAGAGTCAGTCTCGAGTTATATAGACTCTCGACCTGTGAATGCCGTTCTGGGCACACAACCACCAGACATGGACGAGGCAGAGCTTCGTCTGCCTAGGGAGACTCTACTGGCTACTGCAGCAGGTTGAACTCATACCTGAGCAGAATAAATGCAGATGTGCCAAATGAATGCCCGACATGCGGAGAGATGCCCCTTGACTCGAAGCATCTCTTCGCATGCCCACTGAACCCTACCCTAACGCCTCTGTCCTTATGGATAGACCCCATCGAGGGTTTCCTGGGTCTTCCGCTAGTAGAGATTGACAACAATGATGGAGGGGCTAACCGATCCGGGCGGGGTTGTTCTAGCCGCTACAACAGCAACACCCCAGGTTTTATGCCTGTTGCGCACAATATCCAGTCCTATGGCAACTCGCTGATTATACTTCTTCAACGATAAATATACATACGAGTACGTCATAAGTACAAACAAAATAATAAATTTAAATCTCTTGTTTTTATAAAAAAATTCCAGTTACATATGTTCGAGTGTCGGTATATATTACTCGCAAAATTGACCTGTAAGAAGTGTAGATAAGAACATTTTTTTTTAATCCCAGAAAATCGTTGGCATTGTAGGCGCTTATCTTAAAAGTGCGTAGATTTGATAATTGTCAGATCAGTTCTTACCTAATTTTTGGCTATAGAGGTGTGATGATCCGCCAAACATTGAGAGTATCTGATTGTCATCACACCAGACTCATCCAGTACAGCAGCACAAAATGAAGGGTCTTATCACTTTGGTTTTTACGAGTATCTTAGCTGCCGTTTGGACTTACAGTGTGCCCGAGCCGCTGGCTTTTATTGAGGATTTGCCACCTACACCTCTGCTATCTGGACGCATAACAAACGGTGCTCGTGCAAAGGCTGGTCAATTTCCATACCAGGTTGGTTTGTCTCTGACTCGCGGCAGGAGTAGCCACTGGTGCGGTGGCTCGCTGATTGCTCCGACGTGGATTTTAACTGCTAGTCATTGCACTGTCAAGTAAGTTGACGGTCAAATCCGGAATTTATTTATTTATAAAGTGATACCTAATCATACTTGTGTGTTTTGGTTCCGCAGTGTTACCAAGGGCAGAGTATACTTGGGCGGCATTCAACGCACCTCTGCCAGGATGTCTTTCATTGTCAACTCGAGTGCGATTTATCAACACTCTGGATATGATCAAGATACCCTCGTTAATGATATTTCCTTGATCCGGATTCCGACTGTGTCCTACTCTAGAGAGATATCAGCTATTAAGGTGCCTTCTAACGTCTCCTCATACTCTAACTATACCGGCAGCTATGCTATAGCTTCGGGTTGGGGACGCACCAGCGACGGTAAGTTTGTGAGTTCATGTGCCTGTATATATTTTGTTACGAGTCAGTTTATTGCTTTATTCAGATTCTTCCGTCTCGTCGTATTTAAATTATGCCCGTCTTGTCATCATACCAAATTCGAAGTGCGCTTCCACTTTTGGCTCCAAAACTGTGTCTAATAAAACCATTTGTGTATCTACACCTGGCGGCACTTCTCCTTGCAAAGGGGACTCAGGCGGTCCGTTGGTTCTGGAATCGAGTGATGTACTTGTTGGTATTACTTCATTTATTTCGAAAAGAGGTTGTCTGCATGGTGCTCCGACTGGATTTGTGCGCGTCACCAGCTACTTGGACTGGATTAGGGACAAAACTGGCATCTTCTATTGATTTTGGAAACACTGCGAGTGCATTGGAAACAGGGTCGGATTTGGAGTGAAATTTGGGGGGTGCTGATGGGAGAACTTTCAAAGCATCTAAGCAATCTCATTTAATGATTGTCTTAAGAAACATAGACTTTATTTTTGATGTATATACATATTTATGTATGTATTTAAGAGTACACAGATATGTAAATAAACGTTCATTATAGACACTGAAAATGATTCTAGCTTTACTTCAATGCCGTAATTTATATTGAGGAGCATCATTCTTCTGAGCCAACTTTTGATTTGACGCAAATAAGTGAAAAACCTTCAGTGCCAGCTGGGAATGTGCAAAGCGTACGAAGTTGAGTATTAATAATCGGATATAGATATCTTGATCACGATTTGTGAGTTGCTCGATGGCATCTGAGTACCGGATTGAATTTTCAGCTTTCATTGCTGTTTAAAAAGCGCTTCCGTCCCTAGCCTCAATTTTTGTTGTTGTTCATTCCCTACCAAAAAGTTTTATGAGGCAGTTCATAAGTTCAATGGTATCTTCTGCTTCGAAGTGGATGTTGAGTTTAGGTAACAGCAGACAGAGATTGAAACTGCTTAGGACATCTTTGGAATACTGCGTCTTTAAGAAACTTCGAGATGATTGGATTGTTTCGATGACTTTGGCTACCGCATGTCTTGGGTTTTTTAACTTCAACGTCTAACTCTTCAACAATTCTGTGTGTGTGTGTGTGTGTGTGTGTGTGTGTTGCAACCAAAGTTGTTACGACGTCTAATGTAGAGATGGGCACGGGTCCAAATATTCAAATATTCAATCTCGATCCAGCACCCCGAAACTCAATTTTTCAGTTCCAAACGCGCCTATCCAGGCGCTTTTCAGAAGTGTACCGCGGGTCCCGTGGGTCTCGAAATCTTCACCAAGAAAAATTCACATGCCATTCAAATTACTTTTAAACAATAACAAACTAATGAAATATCTGGCATCTTCGGATTATTTTATTTTGCTTTACTGTTCCTTTTTCGTCTAAAAAAAACATAAAAAAGTGCAGTTTTCGTACATCGTTTTTAAGGAAAATTTTTTGAATTTTCGTATGTTGTGGTTTTATCGAGAGTATCGGGAAAGGATTTTAATCCACAGACCTTCCCGATACCGCCCAACCGGGCATTTCGAAATCAATACCGTGGGTCCCGCGGAAGATCGATAGTTTCATTCTGCGAAATCACACTCAGTGGCTGCAGTCGTTCTAAATTCTTATTAATTTATTTTTATCAGTGCTTCTTCGATTTCTGGAAGGGCGACGACTGTAAAATGAAGAGCCTTTATCAAAATGTTGCCGTTTAAAAATGGCCTCAAGCTCAATAAAAATTGTTGAATATAATTGTTATAAGGACATAACATAACAAAAACAGAGAAAATGATAAACATTAAGGTAATTCCAAAGATCAATATTAAGAAAAAGATGATGATAAGGATACCGATAAAAGTAAAGAAGAAGATAGAGGAAGAAAGATTAAAATAAAGGTAATTATAAATAAATTGAGATAGAGAAAGACACAACTTGGGAACTATTTCGGGACTTTTTGTATTCTCGGGATTTATCGATGTAATAATAGATATTTATATCGGGTTTTTACCAATATATTTATCCATTTTGTTATCGAAATTTTTATCAACTTTGTCATAGATATTTTTATCGATATTATCGATTTTTCTATCGATATTTTCGGAACTTATCGTTATAATAATCGATATTTTTATCGATTTTGCAATCGATATTTTTTATCGATTTTCTTATCGATATTTTTGGTATATTTTCTTATGGATATTTTTGTCGAATTTGTTATCGATATTGGTATCGATATTTTTATCGATTTTGTTATCAATAATTTTTTTCGATAATTTGATCGATTTTGTTATCGATTTTCTATTGATATTGTTATCGATTTTGCTATCGATATCTTTTTCGATATTTTTATCGGTTTGATAGATAAAAATAGAAGATAAAAATATAGATAAAGGAAAAGAGAATGACATAAATATAATTAGAACGAACAGGATAGAGGTAGGGAGGTTAGATAGAAAAAAGACAAGGTTTTTATCGATTTTGCTATCGATAATTTTTATCAATATTGTTATTGGTTTTGTTATCGAAATTGTTGTAGATTTTTTATCGATATTTTTATCGAATTTGTTATCGGTTTTGGTATCGATTATTTATCGATTTTGTAACCTGTTATTTATCGATTTTGTTATAAAGATTTGTGTCGATTTAGTTATCGATTTTCTAATCGATTTTTATTATCGATTTTGTTATTGATATTTTAATCGATTTTGTTATCGAAATTTTTTTCGATTTTGCTACCAATATTATAACGGAAGTTTCAGTAAAAAGTAGTATGTTCCAAAAATTTATAGTACATATATGGAAGAGAATGTCTAGCAAAAAAAAAAAGACAAAAATTAAGTCATTTTGTATTTATTTCAAACTTGCACTTTATCATATTATAATAAATGGGCTATCAAAACGCATACCAGAAATTTTTCAAAAAATTTTGAATAATTCACGTGTCCTTGGACGCCTGGATATTGAGAGGAATTATAAAAGTGGCGAAGTAGCGAAGTATGCCAATGTAAGTGAAAACTTCTCGACCTGTGAAACAGGCATACACCCTCTCGTGTCGCGGCACCCACCTTGGGAAAGCCTGGACTAGACGATTCGAGTGACCTAATATGGATAGAAATCCATACTGGCGCGACTGATGTTAAACGTTTGCGGGGTTTGCTGTTAGTTTTTCTTTTCCAATTTTTGGAATTATTCGCTTTGCCTAGAATTTTGAGCTATATTACGAATTGTGGTTTTTTGTGTAAAAGTAAGAATGAATAAAATTGTTTTAAAGTTTGGATAGCACTGTAGTAAACTAACTGAATGTATTAGGCATTCCGGAATATAACAGCCGAAAGGTATGCTACAAAAATTGTTTCCATTTTGGTATTCCACTAAATATTGTTTTTTGTTTCCGTTTGAGTTGGACTTCCTTTCGTTTTATTTTGAACTAGCGGACTACCCCGCAGTCGTTCAGGGTAAAATAGTAAAAAAAGAAATTTTGCCACTATTGTTTAGAAAAAACTTTCTCTTTTCTTTTTCTTTTGGTGTTAGTCGGAAACTGGGATCGATCACAGGCCCTGCGGAATGGTAGTGCGCACTTCTAACCACTAAAGCACAGCGGTCACAATTAATTAATACATTGATATTATTTGGGTTTCCCCTTCGTGTGTATCCGAAATGTAGTTGACTTTGTTAATCGATAGCTTCCTGTTCTTCTGTTACCAGCATCGCGATAATAAAAAAGGAATAACATGCGCTAAAATATTTTAATAACAGAGATTATATAGAAAAACTCCTGAAGGCCCGAGTAGGCTATTATTTCAAAGGAGCTCAGATTTTGTCAACCGACATAAAATACAGTCTGCCAGAACATGCTCCGCTTTCTAAACTGCTGTAATATCTCTTTATTATCCACGTATACTTTAAATAAACGAGAGTGATTATGATCCTTGGATAGGAGACCTTCCGAAAAGTGCGACGTGGATAAATTTTAATGTTAATGCAAAAGTTAGGAACCAACCACGTTGTGTAATAATGCAGGTGACGTCAAGTAATGGTTAAGGGCTAAAACCTTTCAAATTATCCCCGAATGAAGCACCAAAATTTACTAATTTATTTAACGATAAAGGAATCCACACACCTGTTCGATTCCGTCGGAGCGGATCCGCACCGTTTTTGATGCTACAGAGTTGACTACTTCGAAAACGCACGAACGCATACATCTGTGCGATTCTATCGCAGTGAAAAATGTCATTTTATAAACAATCAATAAATATTTTTCAATAAAAAATTGTATTCTTATGGCCTTATTCATAAAAAATAAAGTAACTTTAAAAAAGGTTTATAAACTGAAACATTTATGAAAACTTCACTTTGTAAAGCTCTTTAAACCTACTTTGTTTTTTATGAATAAAGCCATTAGTATTTCTACAATAGTTTCGTTTCGGTTTCTTAAGTTAATTTTTGTTTTAACTTTACAAAATCCGTCTACTGACCTATTTAGTTCTCAACACGCGGCATTCTGCGATTTCGGCACGATAAAAAGAAGAACTGTGAATGATCGAATAAATCGCTGCAACAAAATCGCATAAGTGTGTGGTTCGTCATCTAAAACTATGGTCGGCATTGTTGTAATTTTTCTCGGAACAGATTCGCACCGACAGAATCGCGTAGGTGTGTGGATACCTTAATAAACGAAAAACGATTTGCGGCTATCCGAAAGTTTAAAGCAATATTAATTAATTAATTGCAATTATTTTTATTACACTTTTCAAATGTCAAGTAAACTCTATTTCACTTCATGCGGCACTCGACATTTTCAACGAACACGCCCCTTAAAACATGCCGGTAACCCCACGCATCCAATCCAAATGCTGGGTAACACGTAGGAAACCAGATGGCAGACCAGATTGGCAACCCCTAGCAGCCACAAATGAGGTAACACCAATCAACACTTGATTATTGTCTGCAGCTAAAAGAAATGAATTGAAAAATAATAATTTAGAAGATGCATATTTGTATTTTCATATAAAACTTACTCGATAGTGCAGTGAGCGGCGGTCAAACCCAGTTGCTACCAAACAAAGAACTGCCGCACCAATAAGAGTTTGCTGTGCGGAAGCAAACCATCCCAGGCATTGTCACCATTGTCCTTCCAAAACCGGTATGAGTAACAGGTGCTTTGATCAGGATAGTTCACTTACAGCCGTTACATATCTTCACAAGATTTCCGCGCTTTTCACAGGACGCGGGCTCCGCAAGTTACCATTATTCTTATAACTGGACTGTATGTAAATATGTACGCCTATTGGACCTGCTCTCAATTCTGATGCGATTTATGAATTTTTGTCAACTCCATGCGGAAATTTTTTTCTATTTACCAAGCTATAAGGTTGCTACCTATTTAAGAACTCAGGATCTATTTAATTAACAATTTGAATACTTTTCAGATATGGGTGGTATTCTTTCCTCTTTCCTCACTACTATATACTCTAAAAGAAAGTATATATTTATAATCTAAAGTTATTTTACATTGAAAAGTCTTCTGACCTTAAGACGTCTTGTGGATCGCCCAAATTGCGTACACGTGTATTCGCATTTCGCAAGAAAATTTATGCTTCTAATCAGCATTTGCCTAATCAGACGCTTGATTGTTTCATGAAAGTTTTACGATATCCGTTGCAGCGACGTGTGCGACGAGTATAAAAGTTTCGACTAGAATAAGGCTAAGCATAGTACTTTCACTGTACAGAACCAATAAACATGAAGTTCTTAGTTGTCTTAGCTGTCGTTGTGGTTGTTGCCTCTGCCTCACCGGTTTACGAGGAGACGGCCTTTATCGAGGACTTACCTCTACCTCCGGTTTTGGAAGGACGCATTACCAATGGTGACAACGCCTGGGATGGTTTGCTTCCCTACCAGGCTGGTCTACTGCTGAGGAAGGACAGCGGCTCTTATTGGTGCGGCGGTTCTTTGATTGGTAGCAACTGGGTTGTGACCGCCGCTCACTGCACAATCGAGTAATTCTGATATGAAAATGTGCTTACTTATACAAATATGTAACTTCTAAATTATTTTATTTTTCAATTCACTTAATTCCAGCGCCTACGAAATCGTTGTATACTTACAATCAGTATTCCACCACCATTCATTCTCAGGATATTCATCAGCATCCAAATTATAACTCGCAAACTCTCAACAACGACATCACCCTTCTCTGGATCCACTCTGTTTCCTATTCCAGCAATATTCAACCCATCAGACTGCCATCATTCAACCAGTACAGCAGCTACGAAGGTCAGTGGGCTACAGCATCCGGTTGGGGCAGCACCTCGGGCAACAGCCAAGATCACTTGCAATATGTCAACCTCCAGATTATCTCCAACAATGAATGCGCCAGCGTCTATGGCTCGGCCACAGTTACCGAAAATACCATCTGTGTTGCCACTCCTAATGGGCGATCAACTTGCAGTGGGGACTCCGGTGGGCCATTGGCTGCAGACAACAATCAAGTGTTGATTGGTGTCACCTCATTTGTGGCTGCTAGCGGTTGCCAATCTGGTCTGCCATCTGGTTTCCAACGTATTAGCCAACATTTGGATTGGATTCGTGGAGTCACCGGCATTGCTTACTATTAAATATTTTACTACGAATACTTCTATGTGAACATAGTGCAATAAAGTTTAAATTAAATTTTATGAGTTTTTAGTGTGTTCGTTGAAAAGATCGAGTGCCACTTGAAATTAAATAAAGTTTACTTGATATTTGAAAAGGGTAATAAAAATAATTGCTTTAAACTATCCGATAACCGTTATTAAAAAATATGTGCACATACATATGAATGTGTACTAGGGTGGTCCAAAATAAGTGAAGTCGGAATTTTAATGCACTCAGCCCCTAGGATTGTTTTATATCGAAAAAATATACCCTTATTCTTTTTAATTTTAAATAAAAAAGTGTTGTCCCAACCCAAAAAGTTGTATCCCGCTCTCCTTCAACTTAACAATTAATATAAAGAACTCAGTAACCTCAAAGAAAATAATAATTACTTAGCACGCAAAATAGCAAACCAAAGTACTTCGTCACTTTCCAATTAAACAAAAGCGTGCGAAAATTTATTAGATATGTACACTCAATCAGCAGATAACATATAGATATAATATCATTGATTTATGTACGTCTCGTTGACATGGTTGTATATTTTGAAAGTTTAATTTTAGCCTATCGTAATCAGATCCTGAAACTCTATTGCCTCACAGAGATTTACGACTTTCTCTACGGCCAATTGTTTTCATAAACGGGGAATATTATATATTTGATTCACATCACCATTGGCATATCGGGGGCTTATATTAAAGAAGGTAATTCACATTGTCGACCACTGTGGTGTAGTGGTAAGCAGTGCGCGCTACCATTCCCCGGGGCCTGGGTTCAAGCCCTGGTCAAAGCAACATCCAAAAAATATATAGAAAAAACTATTTTTTTTTTAACAGCGGTCGCCCCTCGGCAGGCAATGGCAAACCTCCGAGTGCATTTCTGCCATGAAAAACCGCTCCTCATAAAAATACAATCGCCGTTTGGATTCGCCGTGAAACTGTAGGTCCTTCGCCTTTGCGTAACAACATCAAAGCGCACGGCGAAAATCGGAGGAGAAGCTCGGCCAAACACTAACATATGGTGTAAGCGCCAATATATTATTATTATTAATTCACTCTTGAAAAAAAAAATTAATTCTTTTTTTCTAAACTCATAACTTCTACATGAGAAAGCTATAATGAGAAAGCTATAAAGCTGTTATAATTTAACTTAATCAGCTCCACAAAAAAAAAATATGTACGTTCACTTCAGTGATGTTTTTCTATATTTGCTGAATTGTCTCACTTAAAACAATGACTGAGAGGGAAATGAAGTTAAAACAAAGTTGTTTTCAACAAGTTATTGAGCCTGAAAAATACTTTGGTTTGATTGCACGCACAATTTCATTTTTAACTTTTTGCTTACTATGACTTTTTGGATACCGTTATGTTTATATGTAGCCAAAGTACAAAGTTCTATTTACTCTTAAGTAGACAATATTCTTGCATGTTTAATAAAAATTTTATTGAAAAATTACAAACAAAAATTTAATTAAAGTACCGTTTCGGAGAGGTCATTACCAACTTTGATGGAGCTAAAATTTAGATATGACGTCCTCCTAGTGCTGTCAAAAGCAGCTCAAACGTCTTCCGCAATTGTAATCGGTGCCGATTTGCTTTCAAAATATGTTTTCCTTTTTCTTTGTATCGAGCCCTAACCGCCAAAAAGTTGTAAGTGAAATTTTTTTCAAAATTTTCGTTTTGAAGCAGAAGTGTTCCTAGAGCATCTAGATGAATTTCTGCATCAAAAATAAAGTTTTGAAAAAAAATTTTCGCCGACAACTTTTTGGCCGCCAGGGCTCGATATGTAGTTTCAAACTCTCCTAATAGTTTGGACTCTCAGAAGGGAGTTTTTCGCGGTTTATTGTTGTTTTTACTATGTACTAGGACTTTGTCAGGAAATAAGGGCTTTTTTGAGACTCCGTTTTGAGCTCATAATTAGGGTTACAACACATTATTCTAAAACATTTCTGATTCTAAAATGGGTGCGAGTGTTTACAGGCTGGGCACTAAAAGAGGAAAAGTGTAGATATAAAAACTAGAGATAGAAAAGGTTGCATCTTTTTTCCCGTGTAGGAAAGTGTTATCAATAAGTTGGCGAAATAGATAAGAGGTTGTTATTAAGGCAGCAAGTAAATGATTGTAATATATTTTTAGGTTTCTGCTTTGGATGAACTTTTTACGCAGGTGCCCGTACAACGTATGATGAAACCCGTGAAGAAATCGGCAGAAACCGAACTTATATATTTTACTGTAAATCATAGGTTTTTACTGGAAAATGGATTAAACCAATAAAAAATGATATATTGAAAAGCTCAAGCGCCTTAAGTGACTTATTTACTTTAATGGGATCTATTGTGAAACAATGCCAAGTTTCTTTGTCTCTGTAGAAAATCGTCATTTCATCACATGCACTTTATGTGCGTTTGTATGTGAATTTGCCATAATATACACTTACGTCTTAATAAAATAAAATTGTATGGAGTGACAAAATTGTATTTGCTATTCATGTTTATTTGCAATTAGATCTGTTTGTATTTATTTATACAAGTAAGCACACATTTTTGTAACTACATATGTATGTATGTATATACGAGTATAAATATGTACGTATGTATGAAATAGTAATGTGAAATAGCAATGTTTCCTTCCAATGGGCAACTAAACTATTTAAGCAATGCACGAATTCACTTACAACATTTCTCCTTAACGTTTATACGAAGACATTATGCTGAAACACATGCTTGCATTCAAATAGAGGCAAAGGTGCAAGTCCCTGCAGGAAAAATTTATTAAGCTTGTAAACTCCATAGAAAACACTCCAAAACAGAACTAGTAAATTTTCCATTCAGGGAAGCGCAGTTTAAGAATTAGTACGTCACGAAATTTGGAAAACATCTCGGTAAAACGCCAAAATTTAATTAAACTTTCTAGACAGATGGCAACCTTTTTTACATACGTAAAAAATATTCTAAATTTAAGACAAAGTTATGAGCGATCCGTGTGCCTAGGTTCATATAAATTCGTCCAGACGTTTCTGAGTTAAGAGTTTCTTCGCATGGTGTCGTTTTTCATTTCATTAAATTTAAAATCACCCTGCATAACTAAAAAAAAGTTCTAACTTCAGAAAAAAAAAACGAAACCTTATTGCCCATCTACAGGCTAATGGACTTATTCATAACAAATAAAGTAGGTATACAGAGCTTTATAAATGGACGTTTTCATATATTTTTCAGTTTATAAACCTTTTGTAAAGTTACTTTTAAACTTTTTAATTCGTCAACTTACTTTTGAGATTCGAAAGAAGGGTGCATACCTAATTCATTTAACTTATTAAATAATTTGAATTTAACCGTCTTGAAACAATTCAAAAATATTCTAAGTGTTCAAATTTACCTTTCGTAACACTCTTTCTTTTGACACCTATACTCAAACTAATTTCGACTTATCAAATAGGTGGCAACCCTCTTCAAAAGCACTTTCAAACTAAAATCTTCTTAAATCTCTTTCGTCTGATATTGTGACACATTTTTCAACTGACATGTGAATTAAATTGAGTTTATTATTTTAAACACGTGGCAACCCTTCCAAATATACATAGTTCAGAAATAAAGACTTTTCAAATCCATTTCGATTGATACCCATCTTTAGCCAATTTATTTAGCCAATTAAGTAATTTAAATTAACTTTTTAAATAGGTGGCAACCCTCTTCTAATTCTTTTTAAACTAAACCCTTCTTAAACCTCTTTCGTCTGACACCCATATTTCAATTAACTAATTGCCTTAATTCAAGCTGAATTAGATGTTTTAAATAGGTGGCAACTCTCCTAAATGCTGTTAAGAAATAAAGTTCTTTCAAAACGATTTCGTTTGATATGCATATTGAAATAATTGATGAAACTTTTGAAATAATTTGAATTAAAATTTTTAAAAAGTGGCAACTCTTTTCGGAAAAGTAAGTATATCAAATCGGGCACTAAATAATAAAACTTTCTGGATGTATTAGCATCCACACAGTTATTTGAGAAAACGCCTCTACAACTTCGCCGCCAACGGACATATTTACTACATATTTGCCGTAAATAGGAAAAAGAGGCGAAAAATCGTTATTTTTAAATAATGGAGAGAATACTTATTCGTCGTTACGTGAATATTATTTTAGAATTCTCAAAACCTCAAATAATTTTGCATGTTCACGTATCCACTCCCGTTTGAAAGTGTTGAATTACTAGTCTATAACGAAGGATTCCTACTCAAAATTTTTCTTTTCCCCAAAACATTTTAGCGAAAGTCTAAGAGAACGGGATTTTTTTTCTACCAATTTTGGCAAAAAACCACACAAGTGGTAACAATGCTCTCTGCTGTGTTTATTTTGCAGATGACTTGCTTTACCACTATTTACTTACTTACGAGTTTTTTTTTGTAATATCAGCTTTTGTGTCTTATGGGGTAAGGTGTTTTTTGTTTGCTACTTCCCCTTGGTAAGGGTGAATTGTTTATATGTATGCATGTGCTTATATGCCTTCTCTACACTCCTGCCAGCCATGTGAATTTCCAGCTCTGCCGCTCTTTGTCTCAAACCTGTTACTTTTCCTAGTTATTGTTCTTGTATGCGTAGCACGTATATTGATTTGATTTCAATTTTCCAGATTCAGCTTGTGTCAAATGATAATGTTTTCGCATCTCCAACTCATTTCATAGAATTACTTAGTATTTGTTTTCTTCTTTTTTTTGGGTAAACAATGTGAATAACTGAGCTGTACGCTTCCACATATTAAGTACATTTATTCATTGTTATTTTTTTGCATATAAGAGCTATCTTTAGTGTGAAAGGAATGGTGTGAATAACAAAACGTATTTGATACATACAACTTTTTCTCAAATTTTCACATAATTTCGTCTAGTGAAGCTCCATGGCAGACCGATGAGCGGTTGTGGGCCTATGAAACCGTGTGTAGCTCTTTATCTGTCAAAAACATCTGTCATTCATTCTTCTAAAGAGTTGAAGGCAACTCCGGCGACTCCGCGNCATGGCAGACCGATGAGCGGTTGTGGGCCTATGAAACCGTGTGTAGCTCTTTATCTGTCAAAAACATCTGTCACTTCATTGCCCGTGATTCCGCTATGTCTCC